AAAGTTTTAAAATCAGTCGCATGTTCGTTCAATCAAACAGTTTATTGTACAAAATGTTCATGCTTTCTTCATAGAAACCCTAAAAAAAGACGATGTTTTTGATAAAAAACTTCAGAATTGAACTGAGAAAGTGAAACACAATTGATGCATCAGACTGCATAAACTCAGACTCAACTAAACGTCTAAAGAATTTCCCTCAATTTCGCAAACCACCACCGAAATATGAAACAATGATAGGATTGAACACCACTCAGAGAAGAGCATTGAATCAATGAACCAATCGCTCACCTTGAGAAACAATCGTTGGAGAGGCGGGTATGGTTCGAACATAACTGGTGGTGATGTTCGTGGACTGGCTGCTAGATGGCGACGATGAGAGGCCAGTTGACGATGATGACGATACAGCTGCAGGATTTTGAGCTGTGATAGCAGCTAGTTGTCTCGAGATGGGACCTTGTGAAGAGGACGGTGCATTCGAGAGTATTTGTCGTGAATGCGCAACACCACCCCCCGACATCAACTGACTTCCTGCAAATGGGCATCCATCTCTTTCGAAATAATCATTTATCTCTTTTTCATAATTTATTATTTTCATCCAATTAATTGACGCAATCTACGATTCATTTTTCGCCAACCGAAAAAAATTATATTTTTTCAACGGCGAAGATGAAACTTTTTGAGACGTGAATTTCGACAGTAATGGTTATTAATGAATTCAGATTCGACAAATGCATATGTAAACGAAATTACTGAAAGATTCAGAAAATAACACTTTGGACATTAATAAACTGCAACTTCTACGAAGTTAGTACGAAACGATAATAATAATAAAAATGATAGTAATGACAATAATATTCAATAATAGTGATAAATAATAATAACCATGAAAATAATGGGAACTAGGTAATAAAATCAATCATAATGATCAAGATAATGATAACGACGCAATGATCAAATAAACCCACCAGGTGGTGGCAACTGTCTGGTGGTACCAGACCCTCCAATAGTTTCATTATTTCTCGCGCCACTTCCACCACTCATTATGAGATTGATGGATGGCATTCGAGTACTTTGATAGCCAGATGTGATATTACGCCTCAGAGTGCCTCTTCTGAAATCAGACTTTCGTCATCACTTTACCTCGAGTCAACGTTTAGAAAACAAAAAATAATTTCTTTCTGAACGAATCTCAATAATTTGAAACCCGAAAACTGAATGAAACGCATCGAAAAGATTTAAATATATATCAACAGCTGAAAATAAGTAAGTGACTTTTCGCAAAATCAGTTCATTAAACGGAGATTCGATATACTGACGAGATCAAATCAAAAGCTCAAAAAGATAACTTACGGCACAGCACGAACTTGTTGAATGCCACCACCGCGAGACGGTACCATCATTGTAACCTACAAAACCAATCGTCTTCAATATTGCACT